TACATAAATTATAATTTGATTTAATTTCCATAATAAACTTATGAGGCAGCTATGAATACTATCTTCATTTTACAGATGAAAGTAACAGAGGCTTACCGGGTAACTTATTCAAGGTCATAAAGCTAGTAAATATGGCAGAGCTCCACTAGATGTGGTGGTGCCTGTAATCCCAGCACTCGGGAGGCTGAGACAGGAGGACTGTTGGGAGTTCTAGGCCAGTCTGGGCTCCATAGTGAGTTCAAGGCCAACCTGAACTGCATAGTGAGACCCTGTCTCAAGAAAACCAAAACAATTTTTAAAAAGAAAACAAAGAGCAATGATTTCCCTTCTTTGGTAATTCTATGAAAAACTTGCTGGTTTTATTTCTGGTAACAGGAATCTAATTCATGACCTTGCACTTGCCAGGCAGGCACTGTGCCGCTAAGCTAAATCCCCAGACCCTCTATGAAAAACTTGTAACTGTGAGAAAAACAACCCAGAATAGCCTAAGTGTCCAATAAAAAGAGATTGGTTAAATGGATACTATACAGCTTTAATTCAACATAATATGAAAATGAGTTTTAGTGATATTTGAAAAAGCTCACAGTGTCTTGAGTGAAAGAAATGGGTTTAAAATAATGTCAATGTGATCTCTAATACAATGTGTGTGTAGAAAAGAGAACTAAAGAACAAATACAAATAAGGTTTAAACTTTATGTCATGTTCTATGTTTTCTAAATTATTTTTGTATTCAGAAAAGGCTGTGAAACTTGGAAAGAAATGTTCTCAAATGATAAGACATTATACATTATTTGTATTCTCAAAAAAATTTAAAACATCTTTCTATCCTCACACTGAAAAACGCATGGACAAGAACAGCGGTAGGAGGTAGACTAGAACAACTAAAGAATGGCATTTATGCTTCATTTTCAAAAACAACCTGGAGCATCTCTAGACTGGTTTGAGTCCTTAGGCTGCTGTCAACCTATCATTAGGTAACAATGTGAAAAGTATTTGCAGGAAAAGATTTGTAATATTTCCAATGTATTTCTCAGACACCTATGCTTAATTCTTTTCTCTGTTCTAAACTTTAGTTACAGAGAATAATATTTCCTCCCCTAAGGAAAAGCCAAAATGTCTACTGCAAATTTATTACACTGTTGAAAAAGAAATAATTTTTGTACAGTGCATGGATGAACCAGACAGTGAATCATGAATTGAAATTATTTTGAGTAAGCTTGTATAGACACTTATTTTTATATCCCTTAGCCTTCTACTCATCTAAAACTATCTTGAAAGGCTCCAACAATTTAGAGATTAAATCATAAGTTATTAAGCCATTAATTTAACCATTTAAGCCTCTAAAGTCAGTGCATATTACCTTCCCCCCTCAAGTCAATTTGCAAGAGATTAAAATAATAAAAATGATAATATCTCACACTCACAAAACAGCTTTGATCTGCAGAAGCATAAAGTACTTTTTAAAAACTTTATAAAATAACTAGGACCATCCACCCACATTTCAGAGTACATCTGAGGTAGGAGCTGGCAGCGAGTGAAAAGCAGTGGAGTAATTTACCATCTGCAGAGAAGACTACCACTTTTGAACAAGTACAGGAATAGATGACTTAGGAAAATGCAGACAGCATTACCTTTTTAATCAAATGAGAAGTTTAACAGCCACGAATTTCAAGGGTATTGTTTGTTTGTTTGTTAGTTTTGAGACAGGGTCTTGCTGTGTAGTGCAGGTAGGTCTTGAACTAGTGGCAATCCTCCTGTATCAGCCTCTCCGTTGGGTGCCAGAATTACAGGCACGCACCATCACACCCAGCTCCATGGCTATTATTTAAATGTCCACCAGGAGTGGTTTAAGATTTCCTTTCAGAGGGAAAACATACACGGAGGGGGGAAGTTGAAGCTCAATTTATAGTACTTGCCTATTATGCACAAGCCCCTGGGTTCAAGTTCTAGCACCAAAAACAAACAAGCAATAGAAGAACCACAAAAACAATTCCCTCTTAATCTAAGAAATTACTAGTCCTGGTTATTTTGTGCAGATATTCCTGGGAAAGTTTGGTACTACTGGTTTCATCTCAGAAATAGAATATGATATCCCAAGTTCTTCGTGTTGTAGACATTTCCCTCTCGTTTACCCTCACTTTCAAAGGTTTTAAATAGAGTATTATAAATTTTGATGTTTCAATGCTTCTGGCTGAAATCCTGCTTCTTGCATCTACTGCAAACACCCATCACAACAATTTTCTGCCACCTGCAAAAACAAAAGACGAACATCTCAAACCTGTACCTTTGACAGGCTGCTTCTTTTTTAATATATTTTTCCTTTCAGTCACTTTCTTAAAGAAAAACAAGTGTTTCTATGCCACATCACTATGAAGTGAGGGCTAGGAGCAAGGTTAAAGAATACTGAGCTGTTTTAGTGGGCAGCATTTCAATTCTTAAGGTTCTCTTCCCTGGTTCTGATTTTTCCATATCTCTTTGAATTACAGTCAGTTCATATGTATAAAAGATCAAACACACACAAAAAAATTTAAGTTAAATACTTCAGTTGGATATAAAAAAATAACTTCTGCACTATGTGGGAGCATGCAAAGTTAGCATATTAAAAGGAACAACTAGCTACCAAGTGAGACCAACAGCCACTACGTCTTTATCACTGATTTTGTTTTGAAGAGCATTCTATTTAACAGAATCTATTATTCTAGATGCTCCCTTTGGCACCCGATTGAATGTAAGAGAGGGAGGGTCAGAGGATCTTACCATCCTTTCAGCTCTAGATTCTGTTCCTGTTGTCCTAGCTTTCCTTAAGTTTCAAAGTGGCCACACTATGAAGACGGCAAGTCGCATCCAGAAAAAGCAAGAATGAGGGCCACACCAGGTTACCAAGCAGGCTCTGTTACCTACAACCACCCTTTCTGTAGGAGCTTTTTTTTTTTTTTTTTTTTTGGTTTTTCTCCGGTACTGGAAACCGAACTCACGACCTTGCGCTTGCCAGGCAGGCGCTTTTGCCGCTGAGCTAAAGCCCCAGCCCCTCTGTAGGAGCTTTTGAGAATGTCTTCCAAGTGATATGTTCTTTTCCAAACTTAATTAATCCTGAACAGTTTGATTTTGTACATTAATGAAAGAATTGTTTTTTTTTTAAAAATCCTACCTATGCTTCTCCTTTTACACAAATTATTCAAATTTAAGAGACGAAAATTAATTTTAACATTGGTGTAGGCAAAGGCTTTATGAACAAAACCCTGATCACACAGGAACTATCACAAAGAATCCACAACTGGGATCTCACCTTACTAAAAAGCTTATGCACAGTAAAAGAAATCATCAACAGAATGAAGAGACAACTCACAGTGTGGGAAGAAAATTTTGCCTGCTGTACCTCAGATAAAGAACTTATATCTAGAATACATAAAGAACTCAAAAAAAAAATCATACCCCCCCAAATTTAAAGATCCAATCCAAAAATGGGCATCTGAAATGATCAGACACTTCTCAGATAGAGAACTAGAAACAGCAAATAAATACATGAAAAAATGTTCAACATCCCTGGTCATTTGAGAGATGAAAATTAAAACAATGCTGAGATTTCATCTCATTCCAGAAAGAATGGCTATTATCAAGAAATCAACCAATAACAAATGCTAGAGAGGCCAAGGAGAAAAAGGAACCCTTCTCCACTGTTGGTGGGAATGCAGTGAAACCACTGTGGAAATCAGTGTGGAGATTCCTCAAAAAACTAAAACTAGAGGTTCCGTTTGAGCCAACTATTCTTTTTGGTATCTTCCCAAAAGAATTAAAAGCATCATACCACAGTGATATATGCACACCCATGTTTACAGTGGCACAGTTTGTAACAGCCAAATCTTGGAAACAGCCCAAATGCCCATCAACCGATGAATGGATAAAGAAGATGTGGTTTTTCTTTTTTCAATACAATGGAGTACTACTTTGCCATAAAGAAGGGTAAACAAACATTTCTAACTAAATGGATGCATCTTGAGACTGCACTTTTAAGTGAAATAAACCAGACACACACGTTCAAATATGGCATAGCTTCTCTGGTGTGAGAAACTGAATGTGTAAACAAGGACCAAAATGTGTAACACACCCTGGGAAACAGGAAGAAAATGTTTAAATGAGAAAAGGAACATGGGAGTGGAGAGAGGGGAGAGGGAAAAGAAAGAAGGACAAGGAAAAAGAAAGAATAGAAGGAAAAAACAGAAAAAAAGCTTCTGTAAATAAAGAGGGGAAAAAGGGTTGAAGGGACAGGAGTGGGAAAAAAAGAAGCAAGACATATCATGTACAGGTATAAACTCCCTATCATGAATGTTATCATTATGTATATCTAAACTGTTCCAATAAAATAAAAAGAGAAATTTAAAAAAAATCCTAATAAGAATATTAGCAAGTTAAAAAAAGAAAATTAATCTTAATATGCACTAAACGAAGAGTAACTTGGAAGTTAAGATACTCGGTTTTTGTTTTTGTTTTTGTACCAGGAATCAAACTCAGGGCCTCACACTTGCCAAGCAGGTGCTATGATGCTGAGCTATATCCCCGGCTCCAAGATGTTCTTTTAAATGTGCATAAAAGTACATTAGAAAGTTTAAAAGAATCTGCTGGGATATAGCTTAGTAGTGAGTGCTTGTCTAGTACATGTGAGGCCCTCAGTTCAATCCCCAGTTTCTTTCTCTCTCTCTCTCTCTCTCTCACACACACACACACACACAACACACACACACACCAAGAGGAAGGAAGGAAAGGGAGGGAGGGTAGAAAGGCAGGTAGACAGGCAGGCAAAGTTAAAAAAATCAACAACAGATTAATATTTTCCCCCAAATTCTGCTGATAATTTCAGCAGCACTTGAGAACAAAGTTGCTATCGGTCCTGTATCAATCTGTACAAAAGTATACATATGTGTATATCTATTTGTGTGCACATGCCATGCCTACACAGACAGCTAAGAGACAGGAAATTAGAATATAACTAAAAATCCTGATACCTTCTTCATGGCTTGACACTTGGCTGTCTCAGAAAAGCCAATCATCTTATCAGGAGAACAGATCTTGATGAAGGGGAAGTTGGATTCTTCTGCAATCTTTGCAGCTAAAGCAGTCTTCCCACTGTGAGGAGGGCCTGCATGAAGATACGAGCAAGGTAGGGGAAAAAAGCCAACCTAAGCAAAGAGGAGTCAAACAAGTTTAAACGTTTATCCACGACATACTGAGGTCTCAACTAGCTGCTCATTAACATCTCCTGACAGTTTCATGGCAGACATGTTTCCTTTTATTTATTAGCAACCACACTTAATGAACTGATTAGCATTTCTCAAAAATATGGTGAAATACATACATGCCTTTTTGCTTTCTCACATAGACCCAATCTTTCAGATTTCTGGCTAAATATATGAAGGATAAGGGTTTTGCTTCTTAAAAATACAAAGAATATAAAAAAATAGAATACATCAGTAGTTGTATTATTTTATCAAATTGTTTGTTTAACAACAACACAAAAAAATCTTAGGAGAACATGCTGGGGGCAGGGAAAAACTGTCTTATTTGAAGCAAATGCGTCACAAAAAGGTGGAATTCTAAAGACTCGGGCTCCTCATAAAGGTAACCACATCTACAAGACCTCCCTGCACTTAGACAAGCCCACTTTTCCCTCATGTGCATTAGAGAACGTGCCCCTTTCCAAACAGAAACCGGTCAATCCCTCCTCACCGTCTCCCTGGGAATCTGACATTTTGACTGCTCCTCTCTCCCCATGTTCAGCCTCTTCCTGAAAGCTTTCCTGAAGCTTTTTCAACAACATTTAATCATGCTCTGGTCTGATAGTTCAAAAAGCAAAATAAAAACACTCTTTCTGGACTTTACCACACAACACTATCTCTTCTTCCCCCTTTAAAGTGGAACTCTGCTAAATAATAATCCCCCAACCGCTCCATTCTTCCTCCATCCGTACTAAACCGATGCTCCCAAGCTCACTGCGTTGATCAGGCCCCACCCAGGTCCCCAGGGACCTGCCTGTCACCAACCCCAGCACATACTTTGTCTTTGTTGGCCTCTTAGGGGCCTTTGGTACAAGGGACAATGCTTGTCTTTTAAAAATATTGTACCTTTCTTTTCATGACTTCTGTGACAGCATACTCTCCCTCCTCCCTCACCTCCACTTGCTCTTGCTCAGTCTCCGTTGTCAACTCTTCCTGCTCCATTTAGTTCTAAACTGTTACCACCCCTCAGAGATAAGCTCTAAGACCCCTTTCCATCTCAACTCACACCCTTTCTTTCTTTCCCCCCGTTTTGTCTTTTTTGGTGGTACCGGGGTATTGAACCCACAGATGCTCTGCTACTGAGCTGTATCTCTTTGGCCCTTTTGGCCCCTGCAATTCATTCCCCATTATAAAGCACTCAGTATCTTGAAAATAAAAATCTGATCATGTGACTTTGTTGCTTAAAACGCTATAAATGGCTTTCAACTGTCCCTAAGATATAGTCTAAGTCTTTAACATAAAATATGAGACGTGAGAAATGGCTCCCATGTTCTGCAGCTCTCCAGCTTTTCTGTCTCTAGCTCCTTCCTGCCCAGTGATATTTTTGCACGCTAGTCCCAGAACAGTCTCCCCAGTTATGCACTTAGTCTGGCCACCTTCTCCGCATCTTTCAGGCTCTAGCTTCCTGTGCTTCTTCCAGGGAGCCCTCGCACTCTGACCAAGGGGTTAGGTTCCCTGGTCACTGGCCTCACTGAACTTTTCTGCTGTCCCACTAATCATAAGATAAATACTTATGAATGGAACATCCTTTCCCATTTATGATAAAATTCTACCTGATCCTTCAAGGTCTAAATGAAACATCAGCTCTAGTTTTCTCTGTCCACCCTGGGAAAAATGACCTGTGTTCACACATGCCTTCGCACATATATACTGTATTTAGGAATTTCTTTACAAGTCTTTTTTCATGACTAGATTGAACATCTGAATGTCTTTATGTCTGTAGCAACTACTTCAGTATCTGAAGTATAGCAAGCAGTCAGTAAATACTTATTTACCTAAATCAAGTTCTATGTTGTATCATTCAGTCTATTAAGTACCAGAGAAATTTAGATGCAGTCCCACTGGAAAATTACTTGCTATCATTCGCCAGTAACACTCGACCCTAAGAAAAGTTTAATTTGTACACAATATTGATACATAGCATGGGTTACTATTTTTAGATCATACACTAGGTTTAGAATGAAAATCTTTTACCTTCTGGAAGGTGCCAAATGGCTTTTAAAAGTACACTGAAAAAAACTTTTAAGCTCATTTCATCACTCATTCTCACCTTCCAAAAGGACGCTAACCAGGGGTGTACGATCACTGTTTTTAGTCTGCTGGACTAAAAGCTCCCCATCATCCAGAACTCGAGTAACTGGGTCACCCCATTTGATGATCCCATTCATAATGTAACTTGCATAATCCTCTTGGTTTGTGCCGAATGCCTATTGAGAGAAGAGACAGTTTAAAGCATTTTGAGCATTAGTGTCAAAAACGAAAACTACTTCCTTCTCTCCTCCACTGTGCTGTATGTGCTCGACACCATTCCTTGCCATGTTTTCTCACAAACCTTTCAGGATCAAGCAATTCCTGGCCGCCAGAGAAAATAAAAAACATTCCATTCCTCAATGGACTTGGGTAAAAACTGGTAATAAATCAGATATAACTATAAAAGCAGATACTGGGGAAGAACCAAGCTGGGTCTATAACAAACTGCACACAGGTAACATTTATGTATCAAGGTCATTACCACCTTACTGTATCAAGCTGGAAATGTTACCACTGTCTTGACAGCTGAACATATTCTACTGGGAACCTGATTTTTCTTTTGATTCCTATGTTCTGTACTAATAGGTTGGTTTTAATAAATATATGAACCTCTTGAGAAAAATAAAATAAAACGCTGAAATATATAAAGTAAAGCTGGGAGTGGTGGCACATGCCTGTAATCCCAGTGCTCTGGGAGGCTGAGGCAGGATTGTAAATTTGAGCTCAGCCTTGGCAACTCAGTGGGACCCTGCAGCAAAGTAAGGGATAAAAAAGGTTAGGAATGTAGCTCAGTGAAAAGGCCCTGGGTTCAACACCAGTATTAAGAAGAAAAAAAAAAAAAAGATGAGTAATAAACACTAAGAATATCAGCACTAATGGGAAAAAAAACAGATTCTGGGCTCAGATTTTACCAGAGCCCAAATCCTCATAATCATAATCCTTGAGAGAAAGTATGCTCCAATATGCTTGTTTCTATAAAGAGTAGGCAGGTTGTAGCCACTCTGTTAAGAACAAAGAGAAAAAGTGATTATGGACTTAGAAATTAGAAATAGCTCAGCACACAGAGACACCGTCGTAATACTGACTGTAGGTGCTACAGATTAAAATGTGAGTGCAAAATGGAAATGATCATGTGCACATCAACTTCGTGGTTGGGGACATAAGTTAAATGATACTCTTGTAAGTGTATATTTATAAATAGAAGAATTAGAATGATATGGAAATAGGAAGCTAAAATGAAAGAGTAAAGGGTTAGGAAAAGGAAATAAAAGTAATGACTAAATTGGGCAGGATGGCACAGGCCTGTAATCCCACCATTCTGGGAGGCTGAGTCAGGAGGACCACAAATTCAAACACAGCCTGGGCAATTTAGTGAGACCTATTTCAAAACAAAACAACAAAATAGGGGCTGGGGATTTAGCTCAGCGGCAAAAGCGCCTGCCTGGCAAGTGCAAGGTCATGAGTTCAGTTCCCGGTACCGGAGAAAACTAAAAAAAAAAAAAAAAAAAAAAAACAACAACAACAAAACAAAAAACAAAATGCTGGAGATAGTGCAAAGGCCCTGGTTTCATCCCCAGTATAGACAACAAAAAAAGCAATTACTATATAAAGCAACTATCATACACAGTAATTTTTATCCACTGTATCTTGAAGCTTGGGTCATATTATTCTTCATTTTCAACTTTTAATTGCAAAGATTCTTATTCCCATCAAAATAATTATCAAAAGTAGTCAGTTTTATTACTTACAGTTGAATTGGATCTTCATAAGGTTACAATCCAATGTACATGTAAAGGTCATATATGTGGTAAATTTCAACTTTTTAAACATTATCACATCCCTAAAAAGTCAATTTTTGATTGCCTCACATGTGGATAAATTTTAATAGTTCTTTAGAACTTACACCCCATGCTACTGAATTTTCACGTTTCTAGTACTCTGTCCCCAAATCATTTTTCAGATCACTCTGGGTAGTGTCTTTGAATATACTCGTACTTTGATTCCTGGATACAGAGGGTAGTCCTCATATTTTGGCCTGGATATAACAAATTCAAAACTTTATAAAGGAGGAACCTAACAAAGACAGGGTGAATGGAAGTTCAAGGAGGTATGTAGGTTGGCTGCCTATGTTTCAAGTAATAATTGTTCCAAATAATAATCCAAGCTTCACAGAAGAAGTTTTAAGATGCCTGAACATAGCCAGGTGTGGTGGCGCACACCTGTAATGCCAGCTCTCAAGAGGCTGAGGCTGGAGGATCACTGTGAGTTTGAGGCCAGTCTGCAGTACAAAGTAAGACCCTGTCTCAAAAAAAAGCAAAAGATTCCTGAACATAAAATAGTGACTCTACAAGTACATATGTGTGTGTGTATATATATATATGTATATATATGTGTGTATATATGTGTGTGTATACATACATGTGCCATGATTTTATTTTTTCTTTTATCCCTACAGACGCTTGGAATAAATAAAAGTAAATTTTTAGTTCTACTTCCTCATATTCAAATTATTCGCCATTTAAAAAAATCTTGTAATAGGCTGGGCTCTAACATATTTGGTAATTACTACAAATGATAACAGCAAAAGATTAAACCATTTTCATTGCTCAGTAACTTTTGAAAGTGATTACATTTAGAAGTCATAATAAAGGGGCTGGGCATTTAGCTCAGCAACACAGCGCCTGCCTGGCAAGCGCAACGTCATGAGTTCGATTCCCGGTACCGGAAAAAAAAGAAAAACAAAACAACAACAACAGCAACAAAAGACCAGGCTCAGAAGGTTTCAGTTGGGAACAAGAACTCCACAGCTATCAGACTCAAGACCATGTAGAAGTCATAATAGTCATAAAAGGTAGGGCTAAAACAAATTGATTTTTGTCTTTAAAGGAGATATTTGCAACAAATAATTATTGAGACTACATAACAAATGGCCAATAAGCATATGAAAAGATATTCAGTATCAGTAATCATTAGGAAAATGCAAATCAAAACTGCAATGAGATTTCACTTCATACTCACTAGGATAAGTACTATAGAAAACAAAAACAAAAAACTAAGTTTCAACAAGGACACAGAGAAACTGGAACCTGTGTGCACTACTCGGAAAATATGAAACGGTACAGGCACTCTGGAAACGTGTGGTGGTTCCTCAGACACGACAACTAGAAATACCGTGAGATCCAGCAGTTCCACTTGTGGGCGTATACCCAAAAGAGCAGCATTACTCACAACAGCTACGATGTGGGAGTGTCCTGTCCACTGACGGACACACGGACAAGCTAAATGTGGTATATACATACGACGGAACATTGTTCAGTCTCTAAAAACAAGGAAATTCTGATACTGTACAAACTGCAATGTGCATGAAACTTGAGAACCTTATGCTAAATGAAATAACTCAGCCCCAAAAGGGCAAATACTGTATGACTTCACTTATATGAGCTGCTCAGAGTAACTGAAATTCTAGAAACAGGAGAAAGACAGGCGCCAGAGGCTGAAAAGGAGGGGAAAATGGAGTTATTGTTTAATGGATCTAGAGTTTCAGTTTTACAAAATAAAAAGAATTGTGAGATAGATAATGTAATGGTTGCATGACATTGAATGACTGTGCTTAATACCACTAAACTGTACACTTAAAACAGTTAGATGGTAAATTTTGTTATGTGTATTCAACACAACCAAGAAGTGAGAAAAGAGTAATATGTAAAGAATTGATGTAAATAAAAAAGTGACAGAAAAATAATAAAAAGATTGTGAATAGCATTTCAAAGAGATGCACAGAATTACAAATATAAAGAACTGCTTAATTTATAAGTAATGTATGAATGGGATCCTGTGGAATTTATGTCTAACTGAATGACAGAAATCAAGTGAGATAATAGCAAGCATTGGAAAAGGTGCAGAGCGAGAGTATCTCAGACTTTTGGGAGACAGTGCTAATTGGAAAATAATTTTAAATCATTTTTTAAAAGTTGGATGTTCACATAACCAACAACCCAGTAATTTTATTCCTAAATATATATCTCAGAGAAATTCACTGAAGAATACTTACAATAGCACCTATTTGTAACAAAAAAACTGGTAATATTCCCAATGCTCACTGACAGAAAAAGGGTGAACTGTGCTGGTCACACAACGATGCTAGTCAGCAATGAAAACGAATGGTGTCTACATGTAAGAAACTGCATGAACTTTCTTTTTTCTTCCTTTTAGTACTGGGTTTTGAACCCAGGACTTTGGTACTAAGCTACATCTCTGTTCTTTTTTTCTGTCTTTTATTTTGAGACAGTCTCTTGGTCTTGCTAAGTTGTCCAGGTTGAGCTCAAAGTTGTAATCCTCCCGATTCAGCCTTCTAGAATGCTAGGATTACAGGTATGTATGTGTCCCATGCCAGCCAGCTATAAATGACTCTTGGTAATTAAAATATTTAATAACACAGTAATTTTCTGAAAGTTACAAACTCTGCCCACTGCCTTGTTGGCTGTGCTGTCTTCCACTGCCATGAATGGCTGCCCCTCTGCCATGTGCTGCCCTGCCTCGGAACCAACAGATTATGGACTGAAACCTCTACAGACTGCGAGCCAAATTAAAAACAAAAAAGTTACACACTCTCTATTGTATTTTATACATATCATGCACATAAGCTAACAAAACTATGCCAGAAATTAAAGCATAAGATTCATCAAATTTTGTGTACCTGAGGTATTTAAAAAAGAAAACTACTTAAGAACCATCGGTAATACTGGGTAAAATGTACTTATTTTTCTCCTAAATTACTACTGCAATTATGCTTCATATGTCACCCAACATGCACACTTACTGGTTTGATATCATTCTCCAACGAAGCAAGGAAGTCTCCTCTTGTTACCTTCAGACTCTCTGCTTTCTCCATGTCCACCTCTACTTTAGTACTGGCCTAAGTAGAATAGAAAACAAAATGCAATGACTTTCAAGATTTAGGAATATTTTTAGCTTAAGAACCTAATATCTAAAAATTAAAAAGCACATTTTCACAAATAAAAAATTCAAGTATTTGTGAACTGTGTATATGAAAAGGGACTAATGCCCAGCATATCTAGAGAACTCTCAACATTCAACAATTTAAGTAGAACTTTCTCAAGAACTTATATGTAAAATTTCTCAACAACCTAAAGAGAAATTTCTACCAAAAAAAAATACAAATGGTCAAAATACAAAAAGATGCTTGATAGGGGCTGGGGATTTAGCTCAGTGGCACAGCGCCTGCCTGGCAAGTGTGAGCTCGTGAGTTTGGTTCCTGGTACCAGAAAAAAAAAAAAAAAAGATGCTTGGTAATACTAATCATTAAAGAAATACAAATCAAAATCATGAGATTTCACCTCATATGCATTAGTATGGCTGCTACTAAAAAAGAACAAGAATGGAGAGTACAAGCGTTGACAAGGATATACAGAAAAACAAAACACATATGCACTACTGGGAAAATACGAAATGGTACAGCCACTCTAGAAAACAGTATGGTGGCTCCTCAAAAAATGAAAACTAGAAATACTGTATGATCTAGCAATTCGACTTCTGGGTATAACCGAAAAGAACATAACACTAAGTCCTGAAGACGCATTTACACAATTGTGTTTACAGCAGCATTACTCGCAAGAGCTACAATGTGGAGGCAACCTAAGGGCCCACCGATGGACCAATGGATAAGCCAAACGTGGTATATACGCGAAATGGAGTATCAGGGTCTTTAAAAAGAAGGGAACTCTGGTATGTGGTGCAACATGGATGAACCCTGAGAACCTTCTGCTAAATTAAATGTCAATCACAAAAAGATAAATATTGTATGGCTTTTTAGAGTAGTCAAAATCATAGAGTCAGACTAGAACAATGATCGTGAGGAGCTGGGGCGGGGAGTGGAGAATGCAGAATTATTGTTGGGCATAGTTTCAGTTTTATAAGATGAAATAGTCCTGGAGGTATATGGTGATGATAATTTCACAAAATTACAGACATATTTAATGTCACTGAACTGCAAATGGTCAAAATGGTGAAGATTAGAAATGGTTAAGATTATAAATTTTATGTTGTGAGCTGGGTGTGGTGTTGCACGCTTGTAATCCCAGCACTTGGGAGGCTGAGACAGGAAGACTGCCTCAAGTTCAAGGCCAGCCTGGGCTATGTAGTGAGTTCAAGGCCACCTTAAATTACAGAGCGAGACTCTGACTCCAAAAAAATTACCTAATTAATTTTGTTGTATATTCTAACATGAAAATAGAAACAAATAAAAGGGTATCTTAAATTTATACATTTATATCTATAGTCTGAACAAGTCCACATCCTAGAATTTATTCCATAAATATATTTGCAAATAGGTACAGAGCTTTATGCACAAGAATATCTACTATAGTAGTTTCTTTTTTTTGTCTGTTTTTTTTTTCTGGTACCGGGAATCAAACTCACGACCTTGTGCTTGCCAGGCAGGTGCTGTGCTGCTGAGCTAAATCCCCAGCCTCTACAGTACTTTCTAAGAACAGGACAGAAAGTATATTGAATGTCCATTAAGAGGGGATGGGTTAAGTAAATACAACACATCTATACCAATGAAAAATTTATTGCCTTAAAAAAAGGGCAAGTATAGTCAAGTGTGTGCTAGTATTTCCAGCTACTTGAAAGGCTGAGAGGCACGAGGATTATTTGATTGTAAGAGCTGGAGGACAACCTGGGCAACATAGTGGGACTTTAAAGATACACAGATGTCCAGACCCAACCCCCTCAGCATTTCAATATGACATGTCTACCAGAAGGTCTACAGATTTATAGTATCAGAAAATATCACAGAAAGATTCTGATGCTCTACTAGGTTTAAAAAACATTATACTGGGAGACCAAGGATTCTGAAACTCATCTGTACTTTTACTGTGTGTGCTTGCGAATCTAGGTGCCAGCTCCAAATATTCTGCTTACTGCACCTGGAGCTAACACTCAGACATCTGGAGAAGCATCAAGGCCTTTATCAGCACTTGGAGCTGCCTGGACCTGATGAGTGATTAAGATACAAACATATTTTTTAATGTGACTGGGCTCACTACCAATAGCACAAAGCAAGATTCTAATTTTTAAACTGGTATCATGGCTTTTTAAAAAAGGCACCTTCAAAAAAAGCTGACTATAAAACAAAAATACATTAAGAAAATAGCAAACTTTCCATTCATTCTTATAAAATGTGAGTTGCATTCGTTGAGGAGGAGACCACCGAGACAAAATGACAGGCACAGAGAAGGCAGCCTTGGGAGACAACAAGAACAATGTCAGAAACTGGGTCAAGATGCAAACAAAACACTTGTGCTTCTTTCTTTTATTTCCCCAAATCCCGAGAAATGACAAAAATGAAAGAGAAAGGTAAAGAGCATGGAAAGGGGGTAAGGATGTGATTCAGCAGTATAGTTAGTGCTCGTTTAGCACATACAAGGCCCTGGGTTCAATTCCTAGCACTAAGAAGAAAAAAAAAAGCATGGAAGACATATTCAGATGTTTTAACAGATATAATAGGAACCTCAGAAGCAGAGACCAGAAAGAAGTAACAGAGAAGAAACAAACAAACAAACAAAATTCCATAGCTCAGTAAAAGGGTATGTCCTTGTAGTTTGAAAGGTTCAATGAATGCTGATCAGGGTAAGTGGAAAAACAACAAAAATCATACATCTGTCAAGACAAGCTGCTGTAAGCTTTCCAGGCACCAAAGATGAAGAGACAGTCTAAGAACCCCTGAGAGACGAAAATATGTTGTCTATTCAGAAGCACAATAAGACTGATATGATATTCCAATGGCAATACTAAAAATTAGAAGACAGTAAAAACCTCATCTTCAATAATACATGTAAAATGACTCCCTTAGGTATATAAAGAAGCACAGGCAAGTGTCTTCACAACAGCATTATTTTATCAGTCAAAACTGAAAGTAATCTATGTGTTAAATTGTTTATTCTACTTACTGTGTGCCCTAGAAACTAGAGACAAGAGCACTAAATAAAACATGACTTTCTTGCCCTCATGGATCCTACATTTTAAATTTTGTGGTAATATTCTAGAACGCTGAACATCTGTCCAAAATAACAAAGGAGATTTACATGTACTGACATGGAAGCTATCTAAGACATAATGGTAAATACAAAAGGTATCCATCCTGCAGCCCGAGTTGGACATGCCTGGCTTACCTGGGCTGCACTGAGTGAAGAGTAATTATTTTGGGCCACACATAAAATATATAATACAGCTACTTTATGTAGATAACAAAACTTTTTGTTTTTAAAATTATAACACTGAAAAAAAAAATAAAAAAATAAAAAAAATTATAACACTGGCGTGTCTGACCCACAGGCTGTAGGATGGACATTCCAGATTGTAGCACAAATCCATTAATGTCCACTAAAAGAGTTATAAATACATACAAGTGTAAAGATGAAGAAAACAAACTACAAAGGCGTATCCCAAATGTTGGTTCTGGAGAGGCAAAGAGAGAGGGCATTTTTTTTTGGTCTTTTTGAGACGTAATTTCGCTATGCAGTTCAGGTTGGCCTTGAGCTCACTTTGTAGCCCAAGCTGCTGTTAAACTCACAACGATCCTCCTGCCTCAGCTTCCCGATTGCTGGGATTACAGGCTGTGCCA